AGGTTCACACACTCCGTCTGTGGTGCGTATTTTTTCCGCGCCCATGTTAACGGATCAGAGCGTTCACACTGCACGCGATTGCGGTCCGGCATGGTGCTCCAGGAGCGGTGCATCTGCAGCAGTCATGCTGTGATCGTTTCCGCAAAGAGTCTATTTCTGCTGTGCAGCACGCGCTGAAAGTGACAGTGCATTATTCACAGTAAAAAATAACATGGACTGGCACGGAAATGTAGTAATTACACCATAAATGCATATAATTAAAGTCTACTGTTTCACAGTCAACACATGGCTTTTTGGCTAGATTTAAAACAAGGAAAAGTGCACTTTTAGATAAACAAGGCATTAATAGATGGCACTCGTGGTGGTAGTTAAACAAAGTTGAACTTTATTGAGTTTAAACGTGAATATGTCTATGAAAGATTGTATTACTGTACTGTGATAAAAGAGAATCACAATTGTTACACCTGGCTCAAAGATGTAACGTTAAGGGAGACGACACGGCGGAATAACTTAAAACATAATATTTATTACAACGAAATATAACCAAAATCAACAATCACAAAAGTCAGTTGGCCTGTCAGTAATATCAGTCAGTATGAAATGCAGGTGAATGGATGCACAAGTGAAGTGTGGTCAGCACTAGTGAATAGATGCAAAACAAAACATAACGCCACAATTGGAGCACGGCTCTGGCAAACTGCTCGAGCAACAGAAGAGCAGCCGCCCTGACGAACTCTCGCACCAGGTTTAAATAACAGCCATGACGAGCATCAGCTGCGCTCCATTCACACTCCAATCACAGAACCTGCCACAGAGAAAAAGAGACCAAAACACCCAAACACTCACTCTCCAATCACAGACCCTGCCACAGAGAAAAAGAAACCAAAACACCCAAACCAACACAACTACATCCTAACACAATGCTGGAAAAGCATTTTCAGAAACAACGTTTGGATTTGAAATCAAAATAATGGATAAATGTTGTGTTTGTAGTAAACAGCCGCAGATCAGGAGCGGACTGCAAACACGTCCTGTGCGAAAGCAAAATGAGTTTTTTCTGCTTCTGCAACGCATACACATACTGTATACACACTGCAGACGGAGTATGTGTGAACTTAGCGCAACAAGACAGGGGAAGTAGTGGCCTAATGGTTAGAGAGTCGGACTCGTAACCCAGAGGTTGTGGGTTCGAGTCTCGTACCGGCAGGGGTTGTAGGTGGGGGGGGGGAATGTACAGCATTCTCTCCCACCCTCACTACCATGACTGTTTTTTTTTTGCCATGTGTCTATTCTAGAGACATTTTGTTACACCTTTACTTAGTGATTATTTTGCCTTATGTCTGTTCTAGAGACATGTTACAGCTTTTTGATAAAGCTCTAATTGGTTTTCTTTTGGAAATATGTTTCAAATTCACACCGAATGCATTTATGACTGTAAAGCATGTCTGTGTATGTCAAAATCGTGATTAAAATCGAAATCGCAAAATTGATCAAAGAAATCGCGATAGGTTTTTTTTGTCCATATTGCACAGCCCTAAACACTAGTCATATATAATGAAGCATTTACTAACAAAACAACATCTACCTCAAGCAATGCGCTGAATTATGTCGCACGGCTCCAGCTCCAACTGAATGGTTTCCCACATTCTGCAAAATAATTTGTTCAACAGAAAAAAAGAAACCCATTCAGGTTTAAAACAACTTGAGAGTGAGTAAATAATGACACAATTTTCGTTTTTGGGTGAACGATTCCTTTAATGTTAATAAAATAAAACACTCACAAAAAATAACTCACTACTCTTGACTGAAGAACTTTAATACAGTTGCTAAAGTTCAGCAGTAATAAAATAACTTGAAATTTTTAACAACTTTTCACTTCATATTTTTTTGCACCAAATAGTATCGATAACAGTATCGATAAGCGGTATCGGTATCAATAAAATGTAAACGATACCCATCCCTACTCCTGGAAGAATTTTTGAATTTTTATCACTGATTAAATGGAAAGATTGTATGTGATTTTTATCAGTACTATTGTTGTTTCTTGTATGTTTTTTGATTGTTTCTTTAAGAAAAAGTTATATTATTGTAAATGATATATTGAAATTAGGGCTGGTAAGCGATTACAATTTTAAATCTAATTGATTACATAATGTGGTGATTAATTAATCTAATTAATCGCAAATTAATCGCACATCAAATTTGACTGAGAAATTACTCCCAAAAGATAATTTAAAGTCGTCAATTTATTTGATTACTTTTATTATTATTACTATGGAAATAAGAAATTATTTCTTTAATGAAATGATACGCTAAATAATAAACTAAAACTGCCAGTAGGTGGTGGTAAATGTCTTAATGGTTAAGTCATCTAGTCATTTATTAATTCATTTGATTAATTCAAATAGCTGATTCATTCAGGAGTGAAGTAAATGGTTCTTTATGAATGGTCCATTGAATCATTAGGCTTGTTTGACTTAAAGCGGATCATCACCATCAGATCGATCGGTGTGTGACATCAAAGTACCGCAAGAGCTATAGAGAGCAGACAGCTCTGCATGCTTTTGAATCGCTCTCGCAGTCCTTTTATGTCATACACTGATTGATCTTTGCAGCGCCGCTTTAAATCCAAAGTGCCAATGGTTCAATGCGCCACATGGTTCACCCAATTCGTTCAAAACGTGCATTAAGAAATGAAATGCCGCTGTGTGTTGCTCGGAGACTAACAGTACTGCTTTTTTCTTTATATTTTCGTTGGCAAAATTGAGCAAAACAGACAACATTGTGTCTAAAATAACACAATATTAACTTCTTACTTACTAAACTGTTGTATAAGATCAGTATCACATTTGCATTCATGTGATATTGCACTTATTGCTCGTGTGATATTTAGGACTGGGTATCGAGTTCGATACTTTTTAGGCACCGACCGAATTGCATAGATACCGTCGAGTATCGAAAAACGTACCAAATTTCGATACCTAAGGGGTTAATGTCATCAGCGTCAGTGAGCCAATAAGCCTGCAGCACTAGTGTTCAACTAGAAGAGGTGCGGCGCTGATCGATCAGTGTTTGACATCCGCGAGAGCGATTCGAAAGCGCACGGAGCAGTCTGCTCTCTTTAGCTCTCATGATTAGGGGTCGACCGATATGTGTTACAGATCAAGTAGACCGATAACCGATATTTTGAACCGATATATATGTCTGGTGTAAAAATCTAAATTAATGTCAAAATTAAGAATAACAAGGGCTCTGACAAAAACTGCCTTCCCTGGTGTTCGTTGAGTGTAGTACTCCCACAGTAAACTCTTTATTTTAAAGCGTTAAACTCTTTATTTTTGGCAAACAAAGGGTTTATTATTAAAATTAAAACATGGAAGAAATAGCGTATTGTGTGATTATTCTTTTAAACAAACATTGTAATAATTGTTGTAGTAGAGTAGTCAGGGGTTAAAGCAAAAAAAAAACCTTGGCCAAACCCCATTCCACAGCCATACTTGTCACACACCCAGTTTAAGAGCAGTGGTTTTCGTCTTGTAATCAGGAGCGCTTGTCCTCCTAATTAAAAAATTTAAGAAGCACCTTCTGATCAATAATCAAAAATTCTGATCAAAAATTTGCCTTCCTAATACGAGGTGACATGTGACTCCGTAAAGTGACTTACAGGGGTATTTTCTTTTTACCTTTGTAATGGCATCCTTTTCATCTGTCAAATTCAAAATGTATGTTTATAAGCTTTTTAAAATGTCTATTAAAATCAAAATAAGTAGAATAAGACAAATAAGTTACCAATCATATAAAATTAGTATTAATAAAAAATCTATTTGTACTACAGAGGGTGCACAGAAGAACACAAAAGTGGCTTG